CAGAAAAGGACATGTTGGCCGTGACCAAGAGCATTAGGAGCACATGAAGGATGGGGAGGCAGGGCAGAGGGCTTGGAGCAGCCTGCAGCAGCCTTCCTGGGGAGAAGGGGAGACCGTAGGCAGCTCGTGCTATGCAGAGAGCGGCCTTTGGGAGCCTGCAAGCAGACAAGTCCACCTTTTTTTTCCCCTAATTTTAAATTTCTCCCTAATTTAAATAATTTCAATGTTTTTAAGCATATTAAAAAACTAATTTCGAAAAGAATTCCATTAAAATTCAAGCCCACATTTATTACGGTTGCACTGAGGTTAAGTAAATGCAGCACAAACAGAACATGCAGACAATTTTTTCCTCTCTGCCAAGGTCTTGCAGAGATCAAACCGCTGCGCTGATTGGAGGGGCTGCTTATGCACACAGACCTGGAGTTTAATTGATACACGAGCTTCTTACAGCAATGATGCATTCTGCTGAAGCACAGAGATTGCTTTCTTAATTTCAGTTCATTCACATCAGTTTGCCTCAGGAAAGTCTGAAGTTAAGGAATTGTTGGGAATGGGAAAAAAACCAATCCATTTTGAGGAGTGAGGAAGGAACTAGGATGGCAGAAGGCACTCCTACAATGCTGAACAATGTAAACAGTTGAATTTTCACATACATGAGCTGGGAGAGTACATCAACTTATTCCAGCCAATGGAAAAAAACCCTAAGCTATACAAATGCACGAGAAGATTAAAATAGATTATTTCTATCACTCATAGTTTCGCGGTTGCAGATTCAAACCATGATTAAAATGACTGAGCCAAACCATGAAAATAATCTGCCTTGTACGATGTATGATCCTGCCCTAGGAGCGTGGCACAGCTATCCAGCTGACTTCCTTTCCCTCTGAATTCCTCATGTTATCTCATTGTAGGAGGGGGGAGAAAGCCATCTTATGCTCATTGCCAGAGCCATCCTCCCACAATGCACACATTAGTTTCATCTCATGCTAAAGACCTTTTTGGTGTGTGAATGATCCTCAGGACTCACCGTGCTGATGGAGTATCCCTCGTAGAAGTGGAAGCGCCCCTGCATGCACACACACGGCCGCCCGCTCAGCTCCCCAAACACCAGCCTGCCCTCGTGCCCTGACACTGGAAGGGAACAGCAGCATCATCTGGGGCTCGCTATTTTAAAGGGATTTCTCAGCTGGCTGCATAGCACACCTGAAATGGGAATTTCTGCTCACCGTCAGGTGGGCTGAGAACACAGCGTTCCTCAATGGACCCTGAAGGGTCACGAGATGTTAAGAACAAGCAGCCAGAGATGAGTTTGCTCTGACAGCCTGCAGGGGAACATCAGTTCAGAATGTTACAATTTGCCTAAGAAGGCTTTTCTTTCATTTATAGAATCATCTAGGTTGGAAAAGGCCATCAAGATCACCATCCATTGACCTAACCATCCCAACCACCCGCTGACCTAATCTGCTGAGCCCCAACACTAAATTGTGTCCCTCGGTGCTACAAACACACCTCAGAGATGGGGAATCTCTGCTCCAATGCTGAACCACAATTTCTCCCTAATGTCCTAAACCTCACCTGGTACAGCTTCAGGGAATTCATGATGAATTCAAACTTACTGAGACACAGAGGCCCTGGAGTGTGTGCAGAGAAGGGAATGGAGCTGTGAGGGGTCTGAGCACTGTGGGAGCAGCTGAGGGGATGGGGTGGGTCAGTTTGGAGAAGAGGAGCTCAGTGAAGAGCTCATGGCTCTGCAGCCCATGACAGGAGGCTGTGGGAGGGGATGTCAGCCACAGCAACAGGGCGAGAGGTGGTGGCCTCACGTTGAGGGTCAGGTTGGGTATTGGGAACAACTTCTCCCCAAGAGCAGTGATGCAGTGGCACAGCTGCCCAGCGATGGGGGGAGTCACCACCCCTGGAGGTGTCCCAGAGCTGTGGGGATGTGGCACTGAGGGACGTGGGCAGTGGGCATGGGCTGGGATTGGACTGGGGATCTGAGAGGGCTTTCCAACCTTCATGACTCTACGATGAAATCAAACTCTTCCTTGGCAATAGCACAGCTGTTAGGTTACAGCTACCGCAGGATAGCACAATTAGGGTTGAGATGCAGCCCTGTGAATGCACATTTCGCCTCTAAAGGACCCTGTGCCCAAAGCCAAGAGGTGTGGTGGATGCGGGTTGGAGTTACCCACATTTCAGAGTTATCTCCGTTGCTGTTGTGCTGACCTGTGCTTCGTGGGAAGTGAGGGATATCCTCATAGGGAAAGACCATCTTGTGCTCCAGCATATCTGCCAGGTCTCCCAGCCCGGATCCGCAGATGATGGCAATCTTTGGGCACTGAGCAGTGCGGGCACGCAACCAGTCTGCTGTTTCCTTGTACACCTCGTAGCTATTTCTGCAGGAGGAGAAGAGGTCAGTGAACCTGTAACCCCATCCAAAGAATAAACTTCAAGAGATAGCAGTCCTGAAAAAGGCACAGAGGGGAAAAAAAAAAAAGAAAAAGATTTATTAAGACTAAAACGGTAGGAGCTTCACTGCTATTACAGAAGATGTTTCTCTATAGCAATCACTTTTAATCTCATTTTACCCTTGGCCACAGGCAAGTTATTTGAATCCTCTCTGCCAGACTTATTTTATAGTGGGAACTGGCTAATGATACCTATATCACCCAGATGTCACAAGGCATAACAGTTCATGCTTCTGATATGCATGAGTCTCTCCCCAGTTAGTGGAGGAATGGAAAAGCACAGTTTAGTCTGGAAAAAACTGCAACCTGTGTGTGTACGTGAGGACATCCAACCTGGGTTGGGGAAGTACAGGGGAGAAAGGTGCAGGGGCGAGCAGCATCAACAGAGATGGGGAACCAGCTTCACAAGTGTGGAGTGCCATCAGCTCCCAGGGCTTCCTTCCAGAACCAGGAACACCTCGTGGATTCAGTAAGGATGCTAAATGGGGATGCCTTGTTCTTCTTCTCCTCCCCCATGTGGTGGGCAGTGGGTTACACTCACAGTCCTAGTCCTGGGCAAAGAGGTACAACAACGTGTCTATACGAAAACAGAAATTAAGCCCACAAATTTAGCTTCATTTTCTGTTTTAGTTCTGTTTCTGTCATTTTGCCAAAAATAGATCTCATCCAATGCTGGTGTTACTTCGCCTGCTTTGAACTTGTCTTTGCAGAAGAGACACAACCTCAATATTCAGGTCTGACAGTCCAGTATTCTTCAAACACTGGAATCACAGTTCTGAAACTCAATCAATAGAAGAATCCCATAATCCTTCTTCCGACAGGACAACAAAGATACTTTCTGAAAGTCAACATCAAGGTTGATTGGAGAGGCTCTTCAAACCGACAGCACTTCCTGAGAGCTGTTTGGTTATTGCCACCAATGAGTGGCAATGGTGGCCATACACACAGGAGGACCTGGAGTGAACCAACACGGCCACAGGCAGCAGGCTGTGCACATGGAAGGCTGCTCTGCCAAGCAAGAGGTAACAAGGATCAGAAACACCCCAGCGTGGTACAACTTTGTGACCCCACGGGAGGGAAGAACTCCTGCAGCCCTGAATTCGAGTGCAGCCACTTAGCTGAGGTGCTTCTCAAAGGAGAACTCTGGAAACAAGACAGACTTCATTTACCATAACATGTTGAATTTTCCAAGTGCACCGTAAGCTGTTGAAATAAGCAGAAAGTTTGAAAATGATGTTCCTGGAGCCTACGCTTGACTGACTGGCATTATTATCCCTTGCCCAACAACAGCTGTCCCAGGCAAAAATTAAGAGTGCTTTGCATATACCAAAGAAAAAAAAATCCCCAAAATATTCCCCTGTTGGATAACTGTAACACTTAGCTAGCAAAACCACTGAATAATTGAAAGCCTTATTTAGAGGGAACAAAGGGAACCTAAACACAATACCCAAATGGATGATGTACCTGTGGCAGGCGTAAGAAAAATAATGAGGTCACCAGCATCTGCTCTTTCACTGCACAGCCAGTCCCTCATCTCTTTGTTTTTGCCTTTTTTTTTTTTTTTTTTTTTAAAAAAAAATAACATTAAAATTTAGACACTACCCCTAAAGCTCCAGAAATTTGGGGACGGAATGAATCCAATTCATTGACAGCTGAAGACAATGGGATTGACTGAACCACAAAGAGTTGCAGAGGGACTTTTCCTTTCCAAGCAGAACGTTAGAACATTTCCTATCCAAATGTGCTGAAGATGCAGAGCACCACGGTGCCCAAATTCATTTGCTGTGCCCACTGCAAGCTTCTATAGGGTCCCCCATCAGTGTGACCCAGCAAATGCAGCCTGCACCCTGGATGTGCACGAGGTCTGTGCAAACTCCTTGACAGCCTGAATTAGCACAGAGCACCAAGCCCCCTGTAGCTATTCCTTCTCACACAATGCCTGCCTAATAATAGTGCTCGGTAGCATCGCTTTGGATTAAATCACAGGATCAGCTGAAAGCACAATCCCCTTCATTGTGAGGGCTGTCATCCGCTGGAGGAACGCATCTGCTGCAGAGTGCAGGACTGCCATTGATGACATCTTTTGTGGCATGAAAAAAGGTCCTCGTTCTACTTCTGGCTTGGCTGAAAGCAAATCCACATAAAACGCAGGCATCTCACAACAAATAGATGGATTATATTTCAGAGGGGGTCACACGTGTGTGCAGTGTACACCCATCTCCTGGTCCACAGCCTCTCCAAGGTCAGCTGCTCGCCGCTGTATTTCAGAATAGCAGCACCTGATGTGGGCAGATGGCCAGACCCCTTCTCAGTAATGAGACATTTACTCCTGAGCAGCCTCAGCCTGACATTTATTGAGTACCCAGCAAGGAGAAGAAAACACGGCAACGCGTTTCTCCATTCCCTTCCATCTCTGACGTCGGTGTATTCCCTATTGCAAGCACCTTACCTGTCCTCTTCTGCATAGGCCATCCTCCTCCTGCTCAGCCCAAGGGGACAGCTGCTGGAAGTGAAGCCACAGCTTTTTTGGCCAGCCCAGGAGCAGAACCCAAGAGCAGGTAGGTGCCCACAGAGCTGCCGCCAGCCCCAGCTGGGCTCTGCTGTTCCTAATCCCTGGAGAGCAGGGGCACGTCGGGACAGCAGCTTTTCTGGTCTCACTCCACGACAAGCCAGCTCCAGAGCTCGGCGGAAAGCCCCACACATGCTTTTCTCATGCAGATGGAGCCTATGGAAAGTTCACGTGTGACTTTTCAGCAACCTCCCAGAGCAGCTGACAGCAAAGCTGCAGCAACGCACATACGCTTGCGTCAACCTGCAGAGTCTGCAGGTCAACCCGTGCCACCCAGCACTGCAACGAGATGCTTCCACGACTCACGTTATCTTCCCGTTCATTCATGCTTGTCCTGCTAGCTCCCTGCAGTTCTCTGTTCATTCAGTTGCTCCACTCACCTCAAAAGGAAATATAATCACAGAATCATGGGGATGTAGGGGTTGGAAGGGATCTCTATGGATCATCCAGTCCAATCCCCCCATTCTAAACCTGAATGATTACATGAAGGGAGACATGGGAAATAAAACAGAGCCCCACCAATATACCCACCTATATATACACCTCTTCACCTTTGCAATTTCCAAAGACGTGCCCAAGACAACCAAGAGCCAAAAAAACCACAAGATGTTGGTGATAAATAGAGATGGTACATCCAGAAAGAACACATGGGACTAAGGTTTATAAATATTCCAAGTAAGGAGAAAGCCTTGATCAGAGCTTGCAAACTCCAAGGCAAATTGGCCTGACGTGGAGAAAAAAAAAAAAAAAAAAAAGTGGAAAATTGAGCTAAACAAGTTCCAGATCTCACAGAATTTTGTAGCGCTTCCATCCACCTTCGCTTGTTGGCCTCAAAGACCACACATCAAATGCATCACTTTCCCAGTAAACATGCTGATAAAGATGGCTTTTCCCCACACAAAACCCAGCAGGCTGAGAGCAGAGATGGCTTTAGGCAGCACTGCACCAGAGGGGCCCTGAACCACTCAGAATGCTGAGCTCACGTGCCCTGCTCACTGCCACCTGCCTGAAGTCCTGGGGCCACCTTTCTCTGCCCCTTGTGCCCCCTCCAGCCCACGCTCCTCTCACTGGCACTCAACACATCCCCGAAGGCCATTACCTCTTTCTACTAAACTAATAAGTAGAGCAAAGCTGGGCCCTTAGCATTCATTTTCCATACAGCTCTTCAGTCTCAGAGTTCCGATGCCCCCCAGATACGTTCCCTTGTTCAGCCTTAATCTGATTACATTCATTAATCTGATCTTTTTGCAAAGCAGACAAGAGATCAGACAGCCCAAGAGCTCTTCCCAGTTTGTTCTTGTCTAGGACAATCTCTTCCCTAGTTCAGATTTACACAGAAAACAGGATTATCAGACAGGACCATTTTATCTGTCTTTCTGCAGCCCCTGTTATTTAACAAAAATTACTGAGGTTTACGTTGCAATGGTGCACGGACTGGACAACTACAAGATAAAGGCTCACCCTACTAGAAAGAATTAATTTCAGCATTGAGGGCATTAATTCCAGTAACACTCCAGAGAGGAAAAAAATCTAATTAAACTTCTGCTCCTATACAAATACGCCAAAGAAGATTCATCTAAAGTTAGTGAATAGCTTGCATAATTCTTAAGAAAGAGTATTTAAAGTCTTGCCTTTGAATCTCAGCCCTCTGTGTGTGTGTGTCTGCAGAAAATTATATCTACAATCCAGATCTGATTGACTTGGGTGCCATTCAAGCCTCGATTCTGCAGGCAGAGCTTCCACAGCTCCGGGATGCAGATACAATCACCTGAAACAGCTTCCTAACAACGCTGTGCCTTCCTGCAGCAAATTTATACCTAAAGAAGTGTCGTGAAGTGTTTTTGCAAGCGTTTCATCAAAACATTTAATTAATGCTTTAGGGTATGTCTCCCACTTCCCTGCACTATCGCAGCATCGCCTTATCACGCAGTCTCCTCACGTGTGCTGCACATCGTGCTGCTGGGAAAGGCTGCACAGCCTGCAAGCTCAGCTCAAGAATTAGTAAGTGTACTCCAAGAACTAACCAGGATTTCCACAGTAATTTGTCAACTCATTGCTTAGGAAACTCGTTTGTTTGTATGCTTGGCTATCCCAGACAGCCAGAAGGAAGGTAAACACAAGCAAATTATTTATCAGGAAAGTTATTCCCCTCGAGGTGGCTTTAATATCTCAGAAGATCCAAAACAGTGCATGCGCTCCTATTATATACCTATAGGAAGGAGACTACAGAGACTGATAACAGGAAAGGGGTGGCCAGGGGAACAGGATACCAGGAGCTAACAGAGCTCATCGCAGTTAGCTGAGCAAAACACAAACTGAGCAATGCCCTGATGACAGTCTGAGAATGTTACCATGGAGGCAGGGGAGAGAAACTTCAGACAGGCACCAGAGCACAGGGGAGACACGCGTGCAATTGAGCTAGGCACTAGGGAAAAAAAAAAAAAAAAGAAGCCTCTAGCTACCCAAAGCATGAGGCTCCAAGCAGCCCCACTGCAAGTGCACTGGGGGTAGAGACAGAATCGTTAAGGTTGGAAGGGACCATTAAAATCATCCAGTCTAACTGTCAACACATGTCACTGTGCACACTAAGCCACGTCCCTCAGGTTAGGATCATGAAAAGGGTTGCACAAGGAGCAATGCAGGTACACCGTTCATAAACGATGCTAGCTCTAAAAAGTCACCTCTTCTTCGTTTTGGAATTTAACGACATTTAGAGCACGTCCAAATCTGTGATTAAAGTTCTTATCCTGGCATCACAGTCAGCTGTTGGCTCTGGGCATGCTTCTCCCCATTAAGGAAGTTACTCCTTCATGGGCAAAACAAGGACAATTTTACTTACATCGTAACAGCAGTCTGACCACAGCTCCTTTGGCAAAGGAAGCAAAATGCAAACCTGCCTGACTTCAGACTGCAAATCAGAAGCAGAACCTTTATAGACCCACCATCAATATCATAAGAAAGCGCTGTGTTAAGGACAACCAGCCTTCTCAGCTAGCATGCACATGGTTCCAGGCAGATCAGCACCATGAGCCTTCTGTCCCATCTGGGTGGCTGCTTCCACTCAGCAGTGACTTTGGTATCACCCAGCAGAGTTGCCATGGCTAACACCAGTGCCAAAGTGTCAGCTGAGCACATCCAAAGCCCCCATTGTGGCTGCACATCTGCAAAAGAGATGAAGGCCATCATTTACCAGCCTCCAAGAAAGCCACACTGCCTCCCCAGATGGTGAGCACCTTGTATCCTCACATATGAAGTGACAGCAGAACACCTTGATCCACAAATACACCAGTCTGGCCTGGTAGCTCTGCAGATGTGGGGCTGAACCAGAATAAAAGTCCTGCATTCCCACGTGGAGTTTCCCACAAAAGACGACTTTGAGTAGTAAAAGAGAAGTACCTACTCAAATTACTGCCTTCACTTAAAGGAATATAATGGTACATACAAAAAGAATTAAGACTGAGTTCACAGTAAAGCTGAGTTTGCAGTGAGTTGCACTGCTCACAGCAGAGCTAACAGTTCAGTTACAGAGTCAGAAAAAATCAACGTGTTTTTCTTATTCATGCTATTCACCTGTACTGATTCAGCTAGGATCCTGATAACACTGTATGCTTGGTCCCTTCCCTGTACTTTGGGAAATGCCCCTCAGCCCAAGAGATTGTGGTACAGATGTGTTACAAGCGCCAATAGCCCAGCAAAACAGGGCAGAAGAGGGAGAAGCTCCCCTTCCACACCATTTCCCTTCATGCACAGAATTGTACTCATTCTCTTTCTGGTATTTTTAAAACACTCACAAGTCAATACTGTGTGGAAAAAAAAAAAAAAAAGAACATCTGAAGTAACATCAACACAAAAAAAAACAAGTGATGTAAGTAACTTACTATACACTAAAGCACTACAACTCTAGCATAAGGGAATAGCAAAAGGAATATCAGAATATTACAGATTACCACACTCACATCAGAGAAAAAGCAAGAGTAAAAACATATCTGTAGATCTTAATTAGAAATGCAAAGAAGAAAGAAAAAAAAAAAAAAACAAACTAAAAAACAAAGCACTTGCAACTATAGTAAGCCTGCCCCATTCTCAATAGAACTAAGCTCTCACAAATTAAGGGAAGCAGAAAATTTAAGCAGTGTTGTTAGCCAGAGTATTCTCTACACGGCAAAACTTAAACCACTACAACAGGCCCTAAAGACCCAACAGCACCCCTCCCCTACCACCGCTCTGCTTTCACCTGCTCCTGTTTTCCCCTTTTTAAGTACCCAGATATGTTGGAGAGTGATTTTCAGCCAGTCACAGGGAGAAGAGGCACTGCACCTGTGCACATAAACCTTCCATCCACAGCTGATGCTCCTTGTTACATAAAGACCCTTCTCAAAAGGTAGAAAATAGCATATTTTTGTTACGTGGCATTTACTACAGTGGTTTTATCTTTATGTATTAACTCCATCTGAAGAATGAATTCCTTTGTTTCCAAGGACTTAAAAGAGTGAAAAATTAAGCTGTGCGTTTGTGCTTGTGAATGGTATGTATATTTTTAATACATACACGTCATTTTTCAGCAGTGTTCCTTCACTTTAGAAACCAGCAAGCTCTAAAGGAAGGAGGGAGGTTACATATTTCATTCTGACTTTAACTTGTCATTTCTCTGGTTGCAGTGCTTTGAGTATATCATTTCTCTTTCAGTATATCATTAACCCACATATTACAGATATATCCCTAACAAAAATGTGTTACTTATTTATTGACTGGTTACTTTGCTCCTAGGAAAACTTCCTGTGGTTACACAAGCTTTAGAATCCTTTGTACTCATAGCACAGTCTTTCTGTGCTAAAGCATGTTCTGGACTAGGGGTGGATCCCACTTTATCAATGAGAAATACGTGAAAGCCGAGCAAACTTAACAGCAAAGTGAATTTCTGCTAACTCATGCTATGCCACTGTCTCTTTGACCCCCAAACAATAAGTGCTGCTCTCTCTGACCTGTGTGTAGCAAAGCCTCCCACTGTCTAAAACACTGGGAGCAGCACTCAGCACCTGAGCTGCGTAACTTTGATAAATGCTTATTAACTCCTCCTATAACGAGAAACTCTTTGGGGCTGTGTTACAGCAGGGAGGTGGCTCTTCCCTTGAAGAGACACGAGTGGGGCTTTCTGCCCGAAGGCCTGCAGCTGCTCCCCGTGCCCGGCTCTCCCTCCCGATCCTCGCTAAGGATAAAGCAGAGAGAGAAAGGGGAGCGGCTCAGCTCGGCTGCGGGGCCGGGCGCTGGAGCGAGAGGGGCGGTGCGGTGCTCGCAGCCCGCCCCGCCGCCGGGCCTGCCTTCCCGCTGCGCTCGCCGGGGTAAGAGCGGGGCCTGCAGTAGGCCGCGCGGAAGCCGCGGCCTCGCGTAGAGGGCTGCCCGCGAGGGGTGTCACCTCCACGGTGTGCGCCTCTACTTGAGGCCGGGGATGGGCGGGATGCGGCTAGGCCGCGCCGTGCGGGGGAAGGCGGACCGTGAGCGGGCGGGGAGGGGAGAGCTGGTGTTCAGTGTTGGGATGTGGCTTCTTGGGAAAGGAAGGCTGCCCAAACGAGAAGCAGCTGGATGCTGTCGATGGGATGGGTGGCTTAGTGGCCTTCCTGGCCCTGCCCTGAGTGAGGGCTGTGAGCAGGGAGAGCCCTGAGCTCTGCAACAGGCTGGAACCAAGGCCAGGCCAGCTCAGGTAATGCAGACTGGCATCCTAGGGCCTTGCCAAGCCTGAGTTGGGATTTGAAGGTTTGAGCCTTAATTAAAAGGTTGTGACAACATTTGTGGTATAAATGAGGTGAAACTAGTTTAGGATGCAGTGCCTGCCTATACTGAGGTCTGTGAAGCCTTCAAACTAGAAGGGGTGAGATTTAAACTGGATACAAGGAAAAAGCTTTTTACAGTAAGAACAGTGAACCACTGGCATCGCTTGCCCTGAGTGGTGGTGGTGCCCAGTCCCTGCAGGCACTCAGGGTTGGGCTGAATGGCACTCTGAGCACCTGGTGGAGCTGTAGGTGCCCCTCTTCATTGCAGGGAGTGGAAGCAGATCGCCTTGAAGAGTGACTTCCAACTCAAACAATTCTATTCATTGTACTTTTTCTCCCCAGAGTGCAGTGAGGTAAAGGGTGCTGCTGAAGATAAAACAAATCTTCATGAGCAAAAGTGAAACTAGGTGTGCTTTATGCTTATTGAAAGGCAACCAAGGTGGGGAAGTAAGTGGAAACATTGCATCGATGCTTCACTATGTGCTGCCTGTAGCAAGCTGGTCACTGTGATATACAGCTGGGTTGGCCTGGTTACTTTGGTGGAGGGAGTTTTAGCTCTTCTTTTTTCTGTTTGTCTCCTAAATTTCTTAGCCCTTTTGATTTTTATTTTTTTTCCTAAATAAACTGTTTGGTGACTTTACTACAGTATTTTCTTTTATTTTGCTTCTGAGGTAATGATACGGATTTGAGGATGGCTAAAATTGTATGCTGAGGGATTTTCTGTCTCCTATATTAATGCTGATTAAATAATGTTACTTACATGAGAAATCTTAGTTTTTGAGTAGACTGGCTGATTTCTGGTTTCTGAATCTAAATTCTCCTTTGCCTGCTGTGTACTGGAACAGATGGCAGAAGACTTGCTAGCTTTGTGCCAGTGTGCTTGTGGAGTCTTGAGCCATTTAGAGCACAACTTCGCACTGCTTTCCTCTTTAACATCAAGCACAAGTTAGTGCTGACCGCAGTTGCAAGAAAATCTTTTCTCGCTTCAGATCTATCACCCTTTTTCCAGTAGGGAAAGCAAGCTGTAAGAACTTGCAGGAGCCTGGTCAAAATGGTGCAGGGTTGTAACACAGAAAACATGTTTTTGTTTGCAGGTTCAGCTACAGGGCTGTTCTCAGGAAGTGCCTGTGAGAAGCTCTGCAAACATCACATTTGTTTTAGTGGGAGGAAAATTAGCTGTGACCAGTTGGGAGAAAATGGAAGGAACAGCACTGCTCCATCTCTAAGGGTAGCTGCTGTTGTTTGGGTCTCCCAACTCTACATGTTTTAAGCATACTTTGAGAACTTGGATAAAATATTGGTTTAATTAGATGAAAAAACTTGTGCCTGTATGGGAACTGTTGAGTCATGGCCTGAACCGCTGATCGAGCACCTGGGGAAAGGACCCAGTCAGCCCTGGGAGCACAGGTGAAGGCAGTTCAGCTGTGCAACTGGAAGGGTGGAGCCTGGCTGCACCTCTCTTAGACCCCATTTAAGGGTTAGTGCCACTGAGGAAGGATCTCCTTCTGGTAAGCAGTCTTCCCTCCCTTTATAGCACTGTTCTATCGTGCTGATCCTTCTTCATTACATCTCTGGTGAAACACCTTTTCCCATCCTATTGGTCTGTCCAATTGCTACAGTGACCCATCTGGGTAATTTGTATAGCTCTTGGCATGCTCTATTTTGAGCCTGAGGTCTAAACACTTAAATATAAACACCTGTGCAGTGAGTAGAGTATTCAGAGGTCAGTGAAGAGCCAAAGTAGCAGCCAGCCCTTCTTTACTTCCTGTGTAAAGGGTGATGGAACTGATGACCCATTTACGAATGGCCTTATTCAGTATAGCCCTTGTCTATTTTATTTTTCTCATTGATACATGGTTCTTTTGAAGCATATTCCATTCCAGAATATGGAAGTGAAGCAAGAGTGTCCTTTAAAAAAACAAACAAACACAAAGCAGTAAAAAAAAAAAAAAAAAAAAAAAAACAACAAACTGTGTCTATTTATATGTGCTTATGATTGGAATTGTTTCTCTTTCTATCTTTCAGATTGTCAATCGGTCCAAGAATGAGCACATGCAAGAAGCCTTATGTTGACCAGACTACAAATCTTGAAAAGTTCGACCCTGAAATTCTTTCTGAAATTGAGAAGCTCTTTGCAAAGAAGTTTTCTTACACTAAGCCACTTAATAATGAATGGCAGCTCCCAGATCCCAGTGATGCCTTCACA